GATTAAAGTCAGAATAATTTTGAATCCTAATCTCAGAAAGAAGAGGAAAATAAGAATTTTAGAGATTAAAGTCAGAATTTCAGAGGCTGAAATCAGAGATTTATGTCAAAAATCTGAGAAATTTAGATTTTTTTTTTCCATATTTACTCCCCAAATTCTGAGGGAAAAAAAAATCCTACTTTTTTTATTGAGAATTCTGAGATTGAAGTCTGATTTCCTTTTTCTCAGTGCCTCTAATTAATTTAATTCAAGTAAATTGTGTTTCATGTTTTTCATGCTTGAGTTTTCATTCCCATTGGTTGAAGAACCAGATTTCTACTCCTACAAAACAAAAATCGCAGAGATTAACCTTAAGATTTTGTTTGCAGGTTTCTATGGCAACAGCAGCTTCTTGGCCAGCCAGCGAGTGAATCCTTTGGTCGATCAGCACGTGTCCGTCATCAGCAGTGTGGGAAGCCTTCGCCCTTTCTCCGCAGCGTACTCCGAGGTCCACGACCCGCTGAACATCCTGGACGAACCAGGAAGGAAAACATCAGGAAGCTTCTTCAGCGAGGCAGAATCTGGAACAGGTCCATACAGAACCACTGAGACCAATCAGTCGCTAATATTTTAGCAATACTACTTCAAATATGCTCTACAAAAAATAAATACAAGAAAAGGCAGATGTGTCAGGATTAACTTTTTTTAATATCTACCAGAACAATCCTGATCCAATCTACTGTGGGGTTCTCCAGGGTTCTGTTTAGGACCCTCGTAGTTCTTGTTGTAAACGGCTCTTTCTTCATTGGCTGCTGTTTGTAAAGCTAAATACCTGGCTAGCTCAGAGCTAAATATTCAGTTTGAAGCTAAGTATTTAGCCAGCTCAAAAATAAATATTTAGTTTGGAGTTAGTAGTTACCTGCTCATTAAATATTAAGTTTGAGGCTAAATAGCTAGCTAGCTCAGAGCTAAACGTTTAGATCAGAGCTAAATAATTAGTTTGAAGCTAAATGGGTAGCTTGTTTACTAAATATTTAGCTTGGTGCTAAATATTTAGCACCAAGCTAAATATCTAGCTTGGCGCTAAATATTTAGAGCTAAATATTTAGTTTGTAGCTAAATGTTCAGCTCCAAACTAAATATTTAATTAGCAGGCTAAATATAAATGGTGACATAATTGTGAACATCTCAGAGTTTGGATATAATTTCGAGGCGCCTCAAGGTGTCATCTGTTCAAATAACCACAAACAGCTTTGGATTGTCCAGCCTAATGACCACAAAACATGAAAATCCCTTTTATTTTCCCATCAAATGTATATTTAAAATGCCTTTACATTGAGAGTAAACCAAGTCAGTCCTTCCTTGTTTGTGTGCAGGAACTAATGAAGCTGGTTCTGATTGGCCGTGTCTGGTTTTGTCCTCAGGTCATCCTCTTCCCGCCTCCGGATCTGCGACCTGCATGTTCGGACTTCCGTCTCCGTTCAGCTCCCAGGACGCTCTGACGTCTCTGCAGCGCGGCGCCGCCTCCTCAGAGGTACAGGACCTGGTTTCCTCGCTGCCGCCCATCAACACCGTGTTCATGGGGGGGGCGCAGTGATCGCACAAACACACAGAAAGAAATAACTGTTTTTATAAAGAACTCTTAGGCTTATATTAACTTATGGAAAATAACTAATACACACTGAAATAATATTGAAAAGAACTGCATAAGTTTCTGTCTCTTCATGTCTTCTGTGTATAAATAAAATGAGAAGCTGACTGACCGCACAACATGTGAAAAACGACCCGGATGGTTTTTGTCGCTGCTGGTTTAGTTTCAGAGACAAAACTATTTTAAACTGGTAGCTACAGGTATTAGGAAGATCCAGGTCTTTATTTCATCCTCTAAGCTTGTGAAGCAGAGCAAAAGGAAAAAATATGTAAATGTTATTAAAATGTGTTTTCAGAAGATTTCTCTTTTAGTTTTTCCTTTTAATTGTTCAGGAGAGAAGTTTCAAGTCCAGTGTGTGCAGTTTTTAGTAATTTTTACTTCATAATGAGCTGATACAAGCTGCAGTTAGTGATTATTAAGTGACAATTGTTCTTTCTGAAGCTTGTTCAGCTCCCTGTTGACTGAAGTGTAGAGATTTTCAAACCAAAATAAATAATTTAGTGAAAGTCTAATTTACTTAGCAAGAAGGTTTCGAGGTTGAATTTTTCTTTTCTGCTTGTAATTCTGTGTGGATTCTCTCTGGGTTCTCCAGTTTCCTCCCAGTCCAAACGCCTGACTGGTTAACTGGTCTGAGGTGTGTGTGTGTGTGTGTGTGTGTGTGTGTGTGTGTGTGTGGTTGTTTATTCTGTATGTCTTTGTGTTGATGGACCGGCGACCTGTCCAGGTTGAACCCCACCTGCCGCCTAATGACCTGGCGACCCTGCAAGCAGACGTTTAATGGATGAATGGAAGTGGAACTGATAGCAAACAGTTTAAAACGGATCAGTGGACCAGAGTCCGTCCTGCAGCCCCGGCATCCTGCATGTTTTAGTTCAACCTCCGCAGCAGGTCGATGTTCTTCTTCTTATAAGCTGTCGTTTCATCCAGGTGGTTAAACCAGGGACAGAACTAGAACATGCAGGATGCCGGGCCTCCAGGACCGACTCCGGGCACCACAGCAACAGATATCATTTTAATTTTGTATTTTTTTATTTTAGTTTTTTCTCTTTTTCTTTATTTTTTCCTCTTTTGTATTTTCGCTTTAATTTTTTCCAAACTTTTTCTACTTTTTAAAGCAATTTCCCTATTTTTTTCTTTTTAATTCTATTTTTTCTTTATTTTTTCCTCCGTTAATTTTTTCATTTCTTTTACTTTTAATTTGTTTCTCTTTTTCCTTTTTTAATTTCTTCTCTTTTTCTTTTATTTTTCCAGTTTTTTCTTAATTGTCCTGTTGATCTTTGTCTTTTTTCTCTCATGTTTCTCTACTTTTTATGCCACTACTTTGTGTTGGTTTGTGGTTATAAACGTGAGTCTTGTCTGAAGGTCGCTGGTCGCTGTTGCTCGTCTTGCTGGGCGCAGAATCGGCGTCGCTCTGACCTCAGACTGTTCGCTGGACGGTTGTGACGCCGCTGCCCTCCTCCTGCCTCCCTGATTGGTTTTTATACGTCATCTACTCAAGGGGAAAAATCCATTTCAGGTGCAGCCGTGCAGGAACAGATGGCGGCGTATGTAATGATTACAGAATCCCCACGTTAAAATACTTTAATTACTAAGTCAATAATGGCTGCAACAATTGCCGGAGCTTTAGTGTAAAAACAACAGAAGGCTGAAGGCAAACTTTGGGCCAATGTTTAACCAGAACCCGGCCTCCATGTTTGAGCCTCGGCTTTAACTCATTTTATTTGGTGAAACAGACTTTAACACAAAGAGAGAAGGAAGAAAAACTAATTTTTCCATTTTAATCTCCTTTTATTCACTGTTAAATTAAAAAATAATAATAATAAAGCTCAGTATTTATTCTTAGCATTTTTATGTTTGTTGTTTTCTGTCAGGCGTTGCTTTGATCGGATCTGCTTATTTTAAATGTCCTTTTATTGGCATTTTAAAATTAAATATATTTACATTTTGAGGCAAATATTTTCAGTTTCATTGGCTTAAATAAATCAGCAACAGAGGATTTAAAGAAAAACTTGACAAAAGAACTAAATGGCAATATTTACCCACCAAAATCTGAATTAAACCTAAATAAATCTGAAAATTTTATTGACATTTCATGAAAAAACATGTGAAAACAAGAGATTTAATCAAGTTGAAAAAATAAAAATATTTAAGGAATCAAACAAAAACTGAATAAATCAAAAAACAAACATGAGATGTTTTACACAATACTCCATAAAAATACACTTAATTTTCTTTACAGTAAAATATCTTATTGTTTCAAATAAACATATGTGTATGTAAGTAACTAAGTGAATAAATGAAAAAATTGAAATTAAAAAGTTAAATAAAAAACAAAATCTTCAAAAACAAAAAAATTGGATAAAATTGATTTGTTTTTTATGTGTTTTTTTTAAAACATCACAAATATTTTTGGAGAAACAGAAATTCAGTTATTGTGCTGTTTTTTAATCTAAAAATTATTCGCACATTTCTTTAACATTTTAGAATAAAAGTCTTAGAGGCTCGTTTTAGATGTATTTTTAAAAAATAAAGTTAAACTCAGTAAACTTTCTCTTGCAGTATTAAATGTTGTCCACTAGGTGGCACCAGTAAACCTGCTTCCTGCAGGTCCAACATTTTAGACTTGCTGTCATAGAGAAAATTGTTAAATTAAATAATAATAAAAAATTTTTACTAAAGTGAATTTAAACAAGTTGTCTTCATCTCTTTGCCTCATATGAAGTAAAATTATATATATAAAAAAAGAAAAAAAATGTAGTTATTTTAATTAATTAGACAGATAAATTAATATGTAAATATTAGGAGAAAATTATACAAAAAAATAAACATTTTAAATAAATTGTTAATCATGTATTATTTTATTTTATATTACGTAGTTGTGAGGTTAGAAATCAGCTCTCACTGAGTCGATCTGATTATTTTTGAACATCATGTTTTGGTCATCTTCCTGGATTTCACTTTGCCACATTTTGCAGATATTTTACGGTCTCTCTCTGTTTGGGTGTTTTGCAGCCATGTCATTTTTACAAGTGACCAAAATGACAGGATGAATTAAAAAAATGCGTTTTCCTCTCTGCAGGAATCCATCAAAGAGAAAAATCTTAAATTCTCGACTCGAGTTTGTGCTGGATCTGCTGTGGAAATGCAAACTCGCATCGATTTTTGTGAAACAGCAACACTCTTGACCTCTTTTTGGGAAGAAAATTTGGAGAAAACATAAAATTTTCAGGCCTTTTCTGCTTTTGCATTACTTGAATTCTTCAGCACTGAGAAGCTAAATTGAAATGGACAAAATTGGTTTGGAAATGTGATTTTTAAATTCCAAACACAATATTAGAAAACATCTCTGTTGCATTTTGGGCACAAAAAAAAAACATTTCTTATGAAATATCTAATTGGAAATAAGACAAGATGTGTATCTAAAGATAGTTTGACAGAAAGAATTTGGGATTTCTGCAGAAAAGATTATTTATTTCTAATTCAGAGACTGATGATTGTCTATTAATCAATTTTCTTGTTTCTTTAATTTATAATTTCTCAGAGAAATAAACAAGTGAGTGGCTTTTTTAATATAAAAGCTCAAAAGTGTCAGGTATCAAATAATTTTTATTGTGATAATTAGATTGGACTGAAAGTAAATAGTGTCTTAACTTTACAGTCTGGCTGACTTAAATAAGACATTTGGTTTGATTAATTATTTTATATCTAGTCGTAACACAAAAGCAGAAAACCTTATTGACTGAAAACAATAAAAGTGGTGACGATTTTTCAGTTTTTTTAACCATATTGATATTTCAAATAGTAATGATAAACTGTGATATATTGTGCAGTCCTTTTTGCAACATAAAATGTGAACATTTCACATAATTTCTACATTTTTTTATTTTAAAAAACATATTGGAGCAGTTTAAAATAATAAAATATCCACATTTTATATATATATATATATATATATATATATATATATATATATATATATATATTTTTTTTTTTTTTTTTTTTTAAAGGGGTTTTTTTTCTCCCTGACCTTTTTGTGCATTTCCAATTCCCTTAAAATATAAAAACCTGCTTAGCTTTATAGCATCACTGCTTACAGTTATTGCAGATCTATTGTAAATATACATTTTAAATCTTCATTTATTCTGCAACAAAGTGGAAAAAACCCAGAATGTTTTAAAATTCAAAAATATAGAAAAAAAATCTTTCATTTATTTATTTGCATTTTTAAACTGCAGCTATTTTGATCAATATTAGATTATATTACCTTCAGTTGCTAAGAGACTCAATTTCAGAAATGACAGTTTGGATGTTGAAACATTTATCCTATTAGTTAAAAAATGACAAGAACGTTTAATGTTTCGCTGATGAATATGAAGCTAAATTCACTAATTGGCTGTTTTAAAACTAATATGTTGTAGTTTTCAAAACAAAATAAATGAAATATTGAGTGCATACAGGATGAAGAGCTGTGGAGCAGTTTTCCATCTGTTTCTGCATGGATGCACACAGAGATACATTCTTAAACGATAAAACGAAACAAGCTATTCAGTGCTGCTGCTGAGCCCGTCTGTCCTCCATGCTGAAGAAAAATATAAAGGCAGATAAAAAGACTTCGCTGGCTTCTGCTCTTTTTCCTAACTTGTGTCACCTTGGAGCGACTGACATTAATAAGACTCCTAATTGCGTCCTTAGCAGATCCTCAGTAGCTGCAACAAAGGGCCTCACACCAAAGTTGAATTTAATTTCTGAGTTGGAAACGTTGAAGCTTTCCGCTCTTCATTGTCTGGTTTTGGTTTTACCTTTTGCAACCCTGCGATAAATGTTTTCCCCCAACTAGTTCACATATGTATGTACGGGTGTTTCGTAGCATTTTAAGATGTAAAGATGTACAGATGTTTTAATTAAACAAACGGGAAAAAAAGCAGATGCAACATGTTAACGCTTGACCTTCACTTTAAGCGTATTTTTAAGCCGTATTCAGTCGAAGCTAAAGACAGCAGAGAAAAAAGGTTCAGAAAAGGAGAAAAGTTGTGACTCTGTAATCACAATATGCCATTTACTCCTACGTGTTTTCAGCCCTTAAAGTGCCCAAGGTAAAAGACTCTGCCAAGTTAATTGCATCTTTTATCTGTCTGGCTGAATAAAAGCACAAAGCCTTTTGCTTATATGTGTAAAAACTGTCAGACGTTCTTGGTTGAGAAAAGCTTTCAATTAAAAACAAAAAGCAACAGAATGTACAGGCTGAAACTCATGTTCTGATTAATATTAATATATGATTACGCTTTGATTCTTCTGCA